GAACTGTTAGCATAGAACTTACAGGCCATTTCAACATTAAAAATGATGAGACCTGCTGCTAATCTATAAGGCCGTGGATGACCAATGAGAGAAGAAACTATTAGCATAGAACTTACATGGTTACATCTAGCCATTTCAAGTGTAAAATGATGAGAGCTTGCTGCCAATCTATAACGGATGTAATACCAGGGAGAAGAACTGTTAGCATAGAACTTGCGGTTACATCTTGCCATTTCAACTGTAAAATGATGAGACCTTGCTGCCAATCTATGTGGATGTAATACCGTGAGAGAAGAAACGCATCTACGGTTACATCTAGCCATTTCAAGTGTAAAATGATGAGACCTTGCCCTTAATCTATAAGGCGTGGATGCAGAATCTATTAGCATGGAACCTACGGTTGCATCTGGCGATTTCTACTGTAAAATGATGAGACCTTGGCGCCAATGTGGTACTCCGCTTAATTTCATAATGTCTAGTTACCAAGAGAGATAGCCTATCAGAACATTTGGTACTCCAATTTCGGTCTCCTGACACAGATAAATGCAGAGGTTAACAGATGGAGTGAGGTACTTAACAGACTTTTACCGGGGTAAACTATGTTTCCCGTACCTTTAGCGACAGATCGTATAGATAAATCTCATATGAGATTTGGATTGAGCTTAAATCGTAATAGGCTTTCTAGTCAAGGGGTCTCCTTAAGAGAACACGCACTCATTGCATTAGACGGCAATTCAGAATGGAACACATTTGTTAGTTATCAGAAGGCTGAACCAACTTAATTTATTTTAAAATGCAAAACCTTATTTTATTTTATTCTATTTAATTTAATTTTTTTTTTTTACATATAGGATATTTTGAAGTTTCAGGAAAGAAAAAAAAAGAAGATATTTTCAGAATCTCATTAATTTATTTAATTTAGTTGAAATAATTTTCTGTTTCAATCTAATAATTCTTCAATTTTTTTTTTTTTTCAAATTATGAACTTTGAAAACCAACAAAAAATAAATTAATGCAGAATTTTTTTTCGTTTTTAACCTTCAGTATTCTTTTTCTTGTTTCCATTATTGGCAGTGTGTCTTCAACATGACCTTATACAAGCTGACGCATTCAACTTTTCCGCGAGTTTACTAGCATATCACATTGAAACACTCGTTCGTACTTAAGCAACGTCGGGCCTGGCCAGTATCTAGATAGGTGACCGCTTGAGAATAGACGATACCGTAATCTTTGAAGTCCGGTTGGTGATCCGCAGAGCAGAGTTCCAATATCAATCGGGTTCGTTATATTCACTTACGCGCAAATACCCCTAGTAAAAAAAAAAAACAATCCAACTTTTATCTCCCCCAGCTATGGGTTAATTAGTAATACGTATATCAGTAAAATCATTATTATTTCAAAAAATCATTATTATTTCAAAAAATTCTCAAGGACATATGGCACAGTGGATAAAGGCGTTGGTTAGATCCAGTGACAGGACCCAAAGAGTTTGAGTTCAATACCCGGTTAAGGCAGTGGAGAACTTGGAGAGGGGAATTAACAGGAGATATCTGATAACTGACATCCATTAAACATGGCACGTGGAACTAGAACAGTCTACCCCAGGGAGCGAAATAAAGGGTTCAGTTCGACATTCCAACCACATGAAGAAGGCTAGAGTGTATAACGGTCGAAACGTTGTAATAAATATGGTGACAAAGATGAGGACAATAGTCCGAATAATGTAAATAATGTACATAATACCTCATCTCAGAAATATAGACAGATACTGAAAGGCCGAAACGTTGTAATAAATATATGACAAAGATGAGGACAATAGTCCGAATAATGTAAATAATGTACATAATAATTTCATCTCAGAAATATAGACAGATACTTAAAGGCCGAAAACGTTGTAATAAATATGGCGACAAAGATGAGGACAATAGTCCGAATAATGTAAATAATGTACATAATACCTCATCTCAGAAATATAGACAGATACTGAAAGGCCGAAACGTTGTAATAAATATGGCGACAAAGATGAGGACAATAGTCCGAATAATGTAAATAATGTACATAATACCTCATCTCAGAAATATAGATAGATATATTATTATTATTACCTCGAACCCAGTAATTTTTTCTTTTTTTAAGAATTATTTTGGATCAGATTTTCAAATGTGGCAGAAGTGAGTGCCGTGAGAATCAGCTTTAATGAAATAAGGCAAGCAATTACTGAGCACTAAGAAAAAAAAGAAAAGAAAAAAGACGAGATTGTGTTAGGGTTAGACACGCTCAGCTGACCAGGAACTACATCTTTCGTAGATTAAATAAATCGTTACTTTTGAAGTTCCTTGAAGGATGTATAGCTGACCATTCGTAATCAAGAATACCCGTCTACTAGAGCGTCTGGCCAATCCTTATTGCAGACGTTTGCTCAGACGCATTTGTGTTTGTTCAATACCCATATAGCCCACCCGTGGTTTAAACTGCAACTATACTGAGCAGACCTTAGTTAATATTTCTGGGAAAGAGCGTGTTATCTAGCGTGATCAATAATTTGAACAAGGCCACAATGCTCAAGCCCTCTGTCACGATGACTTGTGACTTCATGCTAGCACAACTATCGACAAAACAAAAAAACGACCATGGTGAGATTCGAACCCGGCTCCCATGCGAACGTACTTACCACTCGTCCTCGTGCCAATTTGAACGATAACCGGATTGATAAGCAACTGATGAAGGCCGGAGAAATCAACTACCGAAACATTGTGATAACAACAACAAAGATAGGGAAAATAGTCCACGTGTACATATTGTAAATAATGAAATCTCCTCATCCCATAAATTCAGATAGAAATTACATGAGGTATATATATATATATATATATATATAAATATATAAATATATATATATATATATATTGTTAATAAACGTGCAATCAATTTACAAATACATGAATTATTCACACAAAAACTAATGCAAAAGTTAATGATTTAAATGGCAAGACATCCATCTCGCAAACAATTCAAATAGTACAAAAACCTCCAGATCCGTTATGAATGAATTGATCCTTGTTTATATAAATTTCTGCCGTATTAGTTGTTATTTTTACACAAGCTTTTCGTCTGTTCTACAGACATCTTCAGGTATATAATAGATGCTGTTCTTGTTTTTTCTCTTAGTAATAAGAGGACAACGAAAATATATGTGTTGTTGTTGTCGAAAATGCTATTGAAAAATGAGTTATTGGTTTTTGAACGCGCCAAAGCAACGCTGAGTTTGATTTTAAATTTTTAAAGTGTTTGCGTTTATACCAAATATGGTGTTGAACAAATTATTTTACTGGTAAATTTTTCTGTCAAAGTGGCATGAACTATATTGTTCAATAATTACAGTAATGTCGCACTTATTATCTAATCATTCTCAGCATATAGGCTTAGTGTTCTAACCCTGGTAGAGACTTTTAGCGATTGATTCTCACGGCATTACAAAGAAAGATCGGCCCAACATATTCCTTAAAGCAAAAACTAAAGTATACAAAATTTACCAACCATCTGCGATAATCTCGTTCTTTCTGAAATTACAAATCCCCCATGAGGATTGAAAGGTGTTTGAGAAATAGCTAAATTAGAGACTTTTGCTTAGTTGTTGGGAAGCGTCATAGCTGAGTGTATGCGCGGCCCGGAATCGTTGGAGAGGGAAAGGATAAATAAAGACGATGGCGTACGCATGCGTTGTCACGATCAAAATCGATTTTTTTTTCTTCCCAAAAAGGAATTGGACCAATTTTTCTTCCACTTCACCATTCCAACGGGTGATACGATAGCCGAACACAACATAAAACCGATTCCAACCAGTTTCTTCGCTTCAGTCAGCGGGACAGCTATATCTTTACGGCATACCATTGTCTATTTTTTTTTCTTTCTTTCTTTTTTTTTTTATTTATTTATTTTCCTTACCACCATCCTCACCCGCCATCTTTACCAATTACGCACCGGACAGACATTTGCAGCAGTAAAACCGGACGACCACCATCAACGCTTTATAATGATGACGTTTCGCAAATTGCTACAAAATGTCCAATTGTGGACCCCAATAAATCTTTCCATATTAGTGTCGATTTTTGGAGCGCTACATACGGGTGGGCCACTAATGCTTGCAGCCGGGATACTGTTTGGCGATCTGAAGCTCACATAAATTAACTGTCACGGGAACAGGGAAAAATTAATGTCCGGTTTATTGTATTGAGTGGAATGTTTTGCGTCTGTTTTTAACTTGTGACAGGCTGCAGATTTTAGAAGCCAATGGAAAATTCCACGCCCTGCCGATCTTCGAAGTAAGAGGATAAGTTTATAAATATCTCATTTGCCCGAAGAAAGATTCCTCTATCATAAGTCGATGGCCTACCACTGAAAAAAAAAAAAAAAAAGAATCTCCCTTTGAATCCTTTCGCATGCTTTACGGCCATATCATGTCGGAACACCGGTTCTTATACGATAAAGCGAAGTTAAGTAACTTCAAGCCTTGTCAGAACCTACATGGGTGACCGATTCAGAATATCAAGTGATGTAAGCTTGGATTTGCGGCTGATATAAAGGGCGTACGGTCATACCACGTTGCAACTGGTTCTCATAGATAAACAAAGGTAAGCAGCATCGAGCCTTGTCTTAGGCTACATGGGTGACCGCTTCGGGAGACCAGGTGCTGTAAGCTTGACTTTGCGGGTGCTATAAAGTGTTTACGGTCATATCACGTTGAAACCGGTTCTCATAGATAACCGAAGGTAAGCAGCATCGACCTTTGTCATAGGCTACATGGGTGACCGCTTCGGGAGACCAGGTGCTGTAAGGTTGACTTTGCAGGTGCTATAAAGTGTTTACGGTCATATCACGTTGAAACCGGTTCTCATAGATAACCGAAGGTAAGCAGCATCGAGCCTGGTCATAGGCTACATGGGTGACCGCTTCGGGATACCAGGTTCTGTAAGCTTGGATTTGCGGGTGGTATAATGTGCTTACAGCCATATCAGGCTGAAACACCGGTTCTTGTACGATAACCGAAGTTAAGCAACGTCAAGCCTGTTCAGTGGCTAGGTGGGTGACCGCTTCGGGATACCAGGTACTGTAAGCTTGGATTTGCGGTTGCTATAAAGTGCTTACGGCCATACCAGATTGAAACACCGGTTCTTGTACGATAAGCGAAGTTAAGCAACCTCAAGCCTTGTCAGTGGCTAGATGGGTGACCACTTCGGAATATGAAGGGATGTAAACTTAGATGTGCGGCTGATATAAAGGGCGTACGGTCATATCACGTTGCAACCGGTTCTCATAGATAACCGAAGGTAAGCAATGTCAAGCCTCGTCAGAGGCTACATGGGTGACCGCTTCGGAATATCAGGTAATCAAATGTAAGCTTGGATCTGCGGGTGGTATAAAAGGTCATATCAGGTTGAAACACCGGTTCTTATACAATCACCGAAGTTAAGCAACGTCAAGCGTGGTCAGTGGTTAGATGGGTGACCGCTTCGGAATAGCAAGTGATGTAAGCTTAGATGTGCGGCTGATATGAAGGGCGTACGGTCATATCACGTTGCAACCAGTTCTCATAGATAACCGAAGGTAAGCAATGTCAAGCGTGGTCAGTAGCTAGATGGGTGACCGCTTCGGAATACCAGGTGAAGTAAGCTTATATGTGTGATAGCTGCTTATGGCTTATGGCTATATCAAGTAGGGACACCGGCTCTTGTATGATCATTGAAGTTAAGCAACGTCAAGCCTAGTCAGTGTCTCGATGAGTGACTCCTCGATTTGCAGTAGGTATAAAGGCCTTGAGGCCAGATCACATTGAATCATTGGTTCTCATACGATAAGCGAAGTTAAGCAACGTAGAGTCTGGTCAGTGTCTAGATGGGCAACCACTTAGGAAAATCAGATCTAAGGTGCATACTGCTATATGACGTTGAAACATCTGTTCCCGTATGATCACTCAAGATAAGCAACGTCCTGCCTGGTCAGGGCTTACATGGGTGACCGCTATGGAATACTAGATGTTGTAAGCTTGAATGTGCGGTTCTTTTACGATTACTTAAGTTAAGCAACGACAAGCCTGGTCAGTGCTTCGATTGGTGACCGCTTCGTAGTACAAGGGAATATTAGATGTGCGGCAAGTATAAAGGGCTTACGGCCATATCACATTGAAACACCAGTTCTCGAACTTTCACCGAAGTTAAGCAACGTCAAGCCTGATCAATGCCTAGATGGGTAGCCGCTTTGTAGTACAAGGGGATGTAATCTTAGATGTGCGGCGGGAATAAAAGTTTTACGGCCATATCGCGTTGAAACGCCGGTTTTCCTCGGATCACCGAAGTTAAGCAACGTCAAGCTGGGCCAGTACTTAGATGAGTGACCACTTAGGAATACCAGATGCTGTAAACTCGGATGGGCGATGGGCGGGTGGCGTAACTGCTCTAGATGAGAAAACAGAGGGCCGAGTTCGAATGCTAGTCGGGTTCGTTACATCACGCACAAATATCCTTGGGCGACCATGATTAGAAAAGAGACATGATCGCCAAAGTATGTCACATCCACTCCTACCAACATGGACTGGTTGGCGTCATAATTTAATGGCCTATCCCTCCGCTATGAACTTGGAGAGGGCCCGCATCCAAAAGAATCTTCACAGGCTGAGGAGAAAAATAACCTGGGATAAATATGTCAGCCTTTCTTTATTCTTCGGTGCAGTCATACCTGGAGGGCAGGATTTGATAGGTTCATTATTTTTTAAACGGCTTCTTAACCTTTTGTACGTTATTTAAAGCCAGAAAAGATACACAAACAAGCACATGAAAGGAGCCGCGGAAAGAAATATAAAGGGGAGACATGTCGCCCTCTTAAAGTAAGGCTTCAAGAACACCAGAAAGCTGTAACATGAGGGGGAGTGGAAAAATCAGGCGTGGCTGACCACATATGGAGAGAGAAGGGAGATCACCGCCCTCTGTGGGATCAGGTTGAGATCATACACAAAGAACACCATTGCAAAATTCGTAAACCTAAGGAATCAGCACATATGCTAGGCCACAAAAATCTCCTAAGCCGACCAAACATGGAAATGAATCCAATATCAGAACCAGAAATAAGGAGTGCCAGAGAAAAGCGATAATAACAACAAAAATTGCAATATGAGCTCTGGTAAAAACATGATTGATAACAGCAAAAATTGCAATATGAGCACTGGTATAAAATTCTGCTGAAGACATTGGGTTTATAAAATTCATACACACATGTCCTCAAGGACACATGGCACAGTGGATAAAGGCGTTAGATCCAGTGACAGGACCCAAAGAGTGTGAGTTCAATACCCGGTTAAGGCAGTTAAGAACTTTCAGAAGGAATAAGGAAGGATAACTGATAACTGATAACTGAAGCCCCTTAAACATGGCACGTGGAACAATCTACCCCAGTGAGCGAAATAAAGGGTTCAGTTCGACATTCCAACCACCTGAAGGAGGCCGGAGCGTACAACGGCCGCAACGTTGTAATAACAATAGTCCGAATAATGTAAATAATGCACATGAAAGGAGATTATGTAACTGCACAATCTACTAGGCCAGAGACAAAATCCAAGGAGAGGATCGAACGTTTGAAGAAAGGCCTGAATCCACATACCTTCGATACAACCAATGTTTATTCGTCGGAGCTCAGAACGTAAATAAACAATTGTATTACATACGAAGAATTTAGTCTTGTAATCTTATCAGACACTGCTGTTATAGTGTTACACAATGAAAAAAAGTCAAATGTTTGTTATAAGCAGTAGAATGCAAACGTTTTTTTTTTTATTTGTTTGCAATCAATTGAATAACACTAGCGATAAAGAAGTTTTGAAATTTTGATATTAAATTTATTTTATCAAATTATTCTAAAATAATTAAATATTATTATTATGGAGTAGTGTCCAGCAAACCAGTCTCAGATAGCGGTGTGTAATCCTCAGTGAATGCTCACATAATTGTGGCCTTGCGCCAGACTAACTTCATTAGTGTGTTGTTTTATTTAATTTTTTTCTGTAGTCATATTCAATCTTTTTATCATAAAATATAATGCAAGTTTATATATTTATTTGTCACAAAACCTGATCTTTCCATTTTAGCAATGACATATTCAGATGCTTTGGTAAAGAAGGCCTTATTTAATTATAAGCGAAAATCTTATTTTACTAATAATAATAATATTGGAGATCAGACTGCCAATACATTGTTTTTTGGGGTTTTTTTGCATCATGTGAATTTTGTATTGTGTGAACAAAGAGTTGTGAGTTCAATACCAGGCAACAGCGACGGTGAATCCAAAACTTGGAGAGTTGAGTTAAAGGAAAATAACTGAGACATTCGGAAGAGGCACAGCACGTGGAACTAGAAAAATATACTCTGGTAGACGAAATAAAGGCTTAGGTTCGGAATTACAATCACCTGAAGAACGCCGGAGCGTTCAATGATCAAAACGTTGTGAATATGGCAATGAAGATGAGGATAACAGTCCGAATAATGTAAATAATGTAAGTAATCATAATACCTCATCTCAGAGATAGGGAGAGATACTGAAGAAGGCCGAAGAGTACAAAGGCCGAAACGTTGTGAATATGACAATGAAGATGAGGATAACAGTTCGAATCATGTAAATAATGCAAATAATCATAATACCTCATCTCAGAGATAGGGAGAGATATTGAAGAAGGCCGAAGAGTACAAAGGCCGAAATGTTGTGAATATGACAATGAAGATGAGGATAACAGTCCGAATAATGTAAATAATGCAAGTAATCATAATACCTCATCTCAGAGATAGGGAGAGATAATGAGGAAGGCCGAAGAGTACAAAGGCCGAAATGTTGTGAATATGGCAATGAAGATGAGGATAACTGTCCGAATAATGTAAATAATGCAAGTAATCATAATACCTAATCTCAGAGATAGGGAGAGATACTGAAGAAGGCCGAAGAGTACAAAGGCCGAAATGTTGTGAATATGACAATGAAGATGAGGATAACAGTCCGAATAATGTAAATAATGCAAGTAATCATAATACCTCATCTCAGAGATAGGGAGAGATACTGAGGAAGGCCGAAGAGTACAAAGGCCGAAATGTTGTGAATATGGCAATGAAGATGAGGATAACTGTCCGAATAATGTAAATAATGCAAGTAATCATAATACCTAATCTCAGAGATAGGGAGAGATACTGAAGAAGGCCGAAGAGTACAAAGGCCGAAATGTTGTGAATATGACAATGAAGATGAGGATAACAGTCCGAATAATGTAAATAATGCAAGTAATCATAATACCTAATCTCAGAGATAGGGAGAGATACTGAAGAAGGCCGAAGAGTACAAAGGCCGAAATGTTGTGAATATGACAATGAAGATGAGGATAACAGTCCGAATAATGTAAATAATGTAAGTAATCATAATACCTCATCTCTATATATAGATATAGACAGACATTGAGGTATCAAAGATGAAAGCGATATTTATTCTTGTTAAAAAAAAAGGAATGTGGCAATAAGGGGCGATGGGAGGAATGGTGATTTTCCTATATTTAACATAGCTACCTCACCTGCTTCTATTCACTTTTAATAGACACGACAATGTTAAACCCCATGTCGCTATCCGATAGCTTGGTTGGGAAAGTTCTACAGCAGGGAAGTTCCCAACTAGCGTTCAACTGGCAGACAAAAATAAATGTGCACGTAACTTAATACATCACCCAGATTTCATGGCGTGGTGATAAAAATTTATTGAGCACAGTATCCATACCAAAGTCAGCAGCCTAGAGAATAGGCCTGCCAAGTAGCAGAATGGAATGTCCCAGTCTTAGAGAAAACACTCACCAACTAACCCAGACAGATTGTGCCAGACAATACTCTAATACACTTATGTACTGTCTGTTTCTCCATCTTAATTATAGAATGTGAATTTTGTATCATGTGAATTTTGTATCATGTGAATTTTGTATCATGTGAATTTTGTATCATGTGAATTTTCGTAGGTAATTTTTACTCTTCATGATTTAAAAATCAGATTTCCTTTCACCATGTCACAATAAAATGTGTCGAGATAAAAATCCTAGATGCGGATATATATAACGAAGTCTATCATTTTTTAAGAGTTCGGAAAAACGAGCATAAAAATAAATTAAAAAAAAACCTAGCAAATTTCTAATAACACATCCAATATCCTGGATATGCCGAAATCATAATACAGGCTAATTCAAAAAAAGAATGAACCGATTTCATGACGAATTTCTTCAGTACTCAAGCATCATCATGGAATGAGTCATTGGTCATTTGAAAGAGGAGTTTTCTAAGTTTTAAATGGCTGCCTCAAGAGTGCTGTAGTCGCGTCGTATCTCCGGCAACGTTTAGTTGTTTGTTTACCCCAGGAATGGCGATTCCTCAGCAAAAGGCATTCTGCGTACTCGAGTTCGCGAAAATAAATACGATTGTCACAGTGCAGCTTACATTTCGAAAGGCAATTCGACATTAATTCGCCCTCTTCTAAGAACATTCGACGGTGGTTTAAACAGTTTCAAGAGGGTTTGTGTCTGTGTAAACGAAAAAGTCCAGGACGACTACGAGTTTCGGAGGAACAAGTGGTGAGAATCCGTGCCGCGTTTGAGAAGACTCCTCGGAAGTCTACAAGTCGAGCTAGCTGTGAGCTTGCGATTTCACAATTCACTATCTGGCGTGTGCCCCAGCGATGGATTGGTCAGAAGGGAGACCAAGACCTTGGTGTTTGTGCTTGGCCTGCGTGATCCCCAGACGTCACCTTGTGCGTGTGTTTATTTTTTCTTGTGGGGAGACGTAAAAGATCGCGTTTATGTTCCATTTCTACCCACTAACTTCAATGGCATTAAATATCGAATAACAACAGCGATCAACTCAGTAGATCGTGATATGTTGATACGCGTCTGGGAGTAATTCTCTTATAGCATTGATGTTGCCCGTGCTGCAGGTGATGGCCACATTGAACACACGTAAGATATGAAATAAAAATTGATTGTGAGTAGAATACTTGTGACTTGGTTGGAGTTTTCTATTGCTTTTCTTTATTAAAATATTATGCAATGAAATCGGTTCATTCTTTTTTTGAATTAGCCTGTATTTGATGTTATAAATAGAGCATGGCTTTATTTTACGGTCAAATGAATAAAAGCGATATCTGACGAGAGAGATGGTTTGAAATTTTAAAATAAAATTAATTTCATCAAACTATTTTAAAATATGATTAAAATTAAAATATGAAATCAAATATGATTGATATGGAGTCGTAGCCAACCATCGCTCGGTTTTCTATGTGTTGTACCCCTTCAGGACGTAAGGTTTCGTGGCTCTCCACCATTTCCTAACCGCTGTAGGTTTCATCAATAATTTTTCCTT